GCTCTCAGCTCGCCCGCGCCGGAAGGCGGCGGGATTGCTGGATCGCGCGGAAGAGGCAGCCAGGCCCGGTCCGGCGAGGCCCGCCAAGAAGTCTGGCACAGCGCCGATTGGGGGGCACAGCACGCCTGGGAGAAATGACCTTCGAGTGGCCCAGCGCGAGAGGTACTGAGAGGCACGGGGGGGCCCGCGCCAGGCTCTGCAGCCTCCCCCGCGCCCCTGCTGGGCAAATTACCCCCCCCCTCATTGCCCGCCGCCCGCAGATTTGCTGGCCGACTTGCCCTCGCCCATGCCCTTGGCGCCCGAACCCGGGCACTTCTTCTCGTGGCCCGCACGGCTGGGGCCGCCGCGCATGCGGCGCACACGGCGGCGGCCAGCCGGGCACTTAGACCCCGGGGCCGCACCCTTGCAGGGACCAAAATTGCTGGGCAAATGGAGTACACCTGCATCCTCGTCTCAGCGGGCGCGGCTTGGGGATCGCTCCCGGCACGCCGGCTGCGGCCGCGGCCCCGCGAGCGGCGGCGGCGCCTATCCCCGGGGATGCTGGGCGACCACTCGCGCTCCAAGTCCGCGCGGACTGGGGCGCAGCGGCCCCAACTGGGTTTCTCGCGAACCACGTCGGCGCCCCCAGGCAAGGAACGAACTGCAACGAAGGCGCATCAAGCGAGCGCGCCACCCCAGACAAGGCGGCGACCATCAAGAGGCCTTGGATCACGCAGAACACGCTGGACCTGATCGACTGGCGCGCGGAGGCAAGGATTGCCGGAGATGCGAAGAGGCAGAACAAGTTTCACAAGTTGTTGAGGAAGTCCACCAGGGCCAACAAGACGCCATGGTTGACCGCTCGCATAGCTGAGGGAGCGGGGAAGATCTCGAAGCCCTCAGAAAACCGAGAGAGCCAGCGCATTCTTGCGAAACGTCGACGGGGAGCTCACCATGAGCATCGAGAAAGCGGGCACGATGGCCGAATACCTGAAGAGAGTCAGTGGCGCGCCCGACCAGCAGTCGCCGCGCGCCCGACCAGCAGTCGCCGTCGATGCCCCGCCGCTCGGGCCGCCGCATCCGGTCAACGAGGCCACGTTCACGGAGGACGAGGCGCGGACAGTCATAGGCAGGCTGAGGAACAACAGCGCGGCTGGCGAAGATGGCATTCCAGCTGAATGCTGGAAAGCTCTGGCCCGGAGCAGTGAGTGTTGGCCAACATCACAGGGTTATCTAACGCATGTCGGCAGCGCAAACGGACGCCGAGATTGCGGCACAAGGCAATGGTGAACACTTCCCATAAGAAGGGCAACACACAGTTACCAGAGAACTACCGCCCAATAAGCTTGTTAAGCTTCGGGTACAAAATCTTCGCGGCTCTCGCCGAGCACCGTTTGGTGGGCGGCGGAGCAGGAAGGCCGATTGCCCAAGTTCCAGTTCGGACTCCGCACGGGGAGGAGCACGCAAAAACGCGATCTGCATCGCGAGGCGCCACGTCGAGGCCGCGTGAGCTTCGCGCCGCGGGAAATCGTACATCCTCGCCCTGGACTGAAAGCAGGCGTTCGACTCCGTGAATATAAGCAATGATGATCGCCTTGGGAAGATTCGGGTTATCGGAGCACGCGCGGAGCATACTTGCTGACATCTACACCGAACGAACGTTTCAGGTCATAGACAACGGGGCTACTGCACCCGAGCGCAGCCAGAAATTCTGAACATCGCAAAGGTTCTCCTGTGTCACCTTTCATATTTGTTACGGTGATGACAATACTGATGGGGGACGCGGAGGGCGAGCTGGGGAAAAACGACGAACTCAGATTCGGTCAGTTGATGCACGCGAACGACACGCTGCCGATGACAAGGACCACTGTTGGAGGCCTGGAAGCGGGCACCAACACCAACACAGGGGGGTGCCTCCACAACGGGAAGATGATCCTAGATTTCAATGGTGGTAATAATTCGGCCACCTTGGAGACCAGAACATTACCACCATCACCGAGATCGGGATCTTCTTCCCTCAGTGGAGGCACGCCGCCGAAATTGGCGTTGGTGTCAACCTCTAGGCCTGCGACACTGGCGGCATGGACAAGTGGCTCAACGTGGTCCAACTCGCAGCTGGCACAGTGGGGCTGGAGATGCATTGGGGCAAATTGCAGCGTCTGAGAATCCGGTGCCAAGGAACCGCCCGGGCTCCACAGGGCGAGGAAATGGCAGCCAATGACACCTTATCGCACCTCGGTACCACCTTGAACAACGACGGGAGAGCGGGAGGCGAGATGACCAGGAGGCTTGGGGTGGCGTTCGACGACTTCCGTAAGCTGAGGAAGTTACGGGGCCAGTCGAACATCGGAGAGGCAAGAAGCATTGAACTTTTCAACGCCGCCATCATTTCGAACTTGTTATACAGCTTGTGCACTGTCGCGCTGAACGCTGCGGAGAGAAGGAGACTGAACGGGGCGCACTGCAGAACGAAAAGAACTCTGCGCGGCATCAGACACCCGATGATTTCACGTGTGTCGAACGACTCCATACGGGCACGCACGGGCCAGGTTCCGTTGACGGCCATTCTTCTGAAGCAACAGCTGATATTATACGGCACGGCATTACGCGGCTCAGCAGGAGATACCCTTCGCGATTCTGTTTTCACCCTTGGGACGCTGACGCCAATCACGGACGCCTTCGTGGGGAGGGTGGGGGCGCATCGGCTGGAGTGGGCGAAATTACTGGGACCAAATGCGCACCGGGAACGCGGCGAAGGAGACAGATTGCAAGATCTGGTTCAGGATCCTCACGTTTGGAGACATAGATTGAGAGAGATGTGTAGGTAGTGTATGAGTGTGCGCTTGCCGACGCGCCATGGGCGTAGGGCTCCTGTCTGTCTGTCTGTCTGCCTGTGTCTGTCTGTCTGTCGTCGGGGTCGAACGGCGCGCCCTTGCCCCCTCTGGCCAGCCAGACGGCCGCCGGGTCCCGCACCTGCTCGTTCCAGTCCTCGCGGGCTGCCGTCGCGTGTAAGAGCAGCGCGGTCCAGGGCTTACCCGGGTCCCACCAGGGCGGGTCTGCTCTGCCGATGCTGATGTCCGTCGGGACGCTGCGCCGGAACGCTCGATGAACTGAGCCCTGAGCTTGTCGCATGCCATGAAGATCAGATGCCATGCGTCTGGCCACTGTGACGCCAATCGTTGGACATGGCGCTGGTAGGCGTCCAATGCCGCCCTGGAGGCTGTCTCCATTAAGATGCACGCTGTGGCGAAGACCCGCCACGACATCACCCATTGATCGTAGTTGGCTGGCCCCGTCGAGTCTTTCGCCAGCCATCCTCCCCCAGGTAAGAGGAACCAAGCTCGAAACTGCAAGTTCTGATAAGATTTCCGCCCAATCGGCACCATACACACACACACACACCAAAGTCTGCGTGTAGAGCAGATTTCATAGTGCATACCCAGTGGTGGAGAGCCGTAAGCTGCTGCATGCTGGGCGTGTCCTCTGGGACTGGGTCCTCCCCCGAAGACGCTACGGCGTACGCCTCCACGCATTCCTGATGAGTGCTACCAGACGCGAAGACGATCTCGGACTCGTCGCCCTGGTCTAACACCTTCCACATCTTTAACTACCACGCTTTCCTTGGTGTGCCCTGTCGGTGGAACTGCTGCTGGCGCGGCCACCTCTTTCTTGGGCTCGAGCGGGTCGACGTCCACCCCGTCCTCTAAGCAGTGGCCCCGCCGCCGGCCGAGACGGCGATGCGACGAGCAATTCGCAAAATCAAACCCCTCTGGGCCACCCGTGCTGGTGGCAAGGGCAGTCCTTGCAGGCGGGCCTGAAGGCCAGTCTCTGAGATCACCTTGGGGCTCAGCATCGCGAGGTTGCGGATCGCAACCCCGAGGTTGCCAGTGATCTCCTGGAAAGCCTTCAAGGAGTCCGCGGGCAACCCCACAAAATCAGCGATGTCTGCCACCTTGCTCCAGGCGAGTGCGGTGGCCCAGGGAGGAAAGAGCGCCATCACTCCCCCCCCCTGAATCCATGCCCAAAGATTCGCGCGAAAGCGGAACGAGCACGGAGTCGAACCGAATCGGACCGAAGGCAGGGGCACGGGGGTGGTGGCGTCTTGACCCGAAGCGGCGACGCACGGGATGCTCGACACACGTCTCGGGTCGGGCGAAAGGGGGGGATAGCAAAGGGGGGGGGGGGGAATCAGCTCACGTAGCTGATTTTCCCGGCGCCTCCCGGCGCCGGGAGGCGGCTACGTATCGAGGAATGGGCCCCTCGGTGGGGCCGAAACCAGCTGCATGCGGCAGACTTCGTAACCCCCCCTTTCCCAATCCCCCCCTTTCGTCCGGCCCGAAGGTCTCTCGCTGCAGCCGCACCCCCCCACCGCACCGCCCCATCGGCGCGAGCGTGAGGCTCAGGCTCGCAGGCAACGGTGTCTACCAGTCCGAAACGTCGGCGACCGGCGAAGGGTCGCGGCGCGCGCGATGCATATACGGCGGCGTGCGCGAGCAAGCAGCGTGAGCAGGCGTCGGTCGACAATGGTGTAAACCAAATAGGGGTCAAAAGATCCGCCCCCAGAATTAAGGGGCCAGATGCGAACCCTACCCCTACCCCCCACGATTTCTGAGGGGGAGGGTGGGGTTCACTTCGTACGGGAGCTCTCGAGGGAAGTGAAACCCCACCCTCCCCCTCAGAAATCGTGGGGGGTAGGGGTAGGGTTCGCATCTGGCCCCCTAATAATAACCACCCCGACACGCGAAGTCGTTTAGTAAACGCGCCCAAAGAAGGAATCGAACATGGCAAGGCTGTCTATTAAACGCCTAGGGCCGCTTAGTAAACGCCGATTATCCCGTCTGGTTGGTTTTTCCTCCCTTGAAACAAGGCAACCGGCGCCGACTGCTCGCAAGCGAGAAAAAGAGCCCACACACAAACGATACAATCGAACCAGAATGATATAGTCCGTGGTCCGTCGCAAGCGCCGCTTCTGTCCATCAACGCAGCATGGATGTTAGAACGGTGCATGCGTGTGGCGCGTCCTAGGCTTCTTCCGCAGGATGGCCTCGACCATAGCGAAGCCCGCAGCCCGGTAGAACGTGTTCCCTCCCCATTGCCTTCTGTCCCGCACAACTCGGCGGCATACAGTGCAACCATGCACGATGTGAATATCCCGCCGATAACCCACAATCCGCACTCAGCCTGATCACATCTCATCCAAATATCTCCGAGAAAAAACACGTTGGGAAACATTGTCGACTAGAGAATATCAAATCGGACATGCAAGTCTACTGTGTGCACTACCCACCTGCTGCGTTTCCACTATGACGAGCATCTTCCTCATCGCACAGATTGCCCTCCGCATCCAACGGCGCTCTCAAAACAATTCTGGATAGAGTGAGGCCGCGAAGCTGTGATGAACTGCCCGTGAGAATCACAGACGCAATACGACGCTCTCGAGGGGAGCCAGAGCCAGTAATTACATGTGTCAGGACAGTCGCTCAGATCACGAGTGACTGGTACACGAGGGCCACGTGCACACGAAGTTGATCCCACCAGCCCAACGGGCGTATCTGGTTTAGTACGTTCCTTCTTCAAATCCCCCTTCTTCCCCTTGGGGGGGGGGTACCACTGCTCCTTATCAAAGACCGTCCACCAAACAGGATCCATGCACCCCCGCATCCCTGACCAAAACACACTACGAGGCACACGTAGCGGCAAAGTATGGATCGTGAGCGAGACTCCCCCGAGCACCACGCATTGGTCTCTGACAGACAAAGCGAGGGCATGGCGCTGCAACAATACCGCTGCCGAGAACAGATACAATCATCAGAGCGCACACGGTGTGCACCGTGCTGACCACCCCACCCCCTGTTTGCCGCGGATGACCGGCTGACTAAAAGATGCGCCCTGACGGCACATCGGCAGAGTGTCAAACATCCAGCACCCAGAGGGCACACCTGCACAACACGCATGAGCAAACGCATGCAAGCCCAACAAGCACGGAACCTCGGGGCACACCCCGTCCCAGCGCAGCGCGAGGGTGAGCTGCACCAGGATGGCGACATGTTGCCCGATGCGTGCTGCCACGTGCATTGGCGCACCTGGCGCATTCTGGGATTCGGCCGGGCATGTCCTCCTACTGGCGGATTTTGGAATAAAAACTCAACACAGATTCAAAAATAGCCTAAAATACTCAAAACATCGTCCCCCGGCCATCTTGTTACTGTTTAAAAATATTCCTCCTGTAGAAGGACACGCCCGACTTAACTCTGGCAGTACGCCGCACCCGGCGCGGCTGGAGCAGGTGGCGCCTCCTGGCGCACGTGGCGCACCTGGGCCGCAAGGCGCGGTCAGGCCCCCGGGGCACTGGGCACACGCGGCGCACCTCGCGAGCGTCGAACACCTCGGCGACCACAGAAAACTGCTCCTCCTCCTGCTCCTCCTCCTCCTCCCCCTCCTCCTCCTGCTCCTTCTCCTCCCCCTCCTCCTCTTCCTCCTCCTCCTCCCCGTTCTCCTCTTCATCCTCCTCCTCTCCTCATCCTCCTCATCATCCTCCTCCTCCCCCAACAACACTTGGGCGAGCGTCGAACACCTGGGCCCGAAATGGCATAGCAGTCGTACGCGGTGGCTAACGCGGGCCGCCGGCGCGCCACGCTGCATTGGAAACGAAGGCGCTGATACGCCATCGCACGCATGAAGTTTACGCGCGAATGTCGGCGCAGTCGGCCCTTGTTTTTTCCGTCGCTCACCTGCCGTCAGTATTGATTCCGACCCGATGTCCATCCAATTGCGACCTCTGCCTAGGCTGAGTCTGGGATGCTACGTGTCTGGCGGGAGGGCGGGTGGGAGTGAGCGAGACAGCTCATGCTGTTCCAGTTGGTAACTCGACGCCCCCCCCTGCCCTCTCCCCTGGGATTGGAAGGGGGCGCGGATCGTTAAAGGGTTCAAGAAGGCCTCACATTATGAACTTATCCAAGCCCTCGAAGTCCCCGATTGCAAAAAGAAGGATAAGAACGAATAACATCGGGATATGTTCACACCGCTGCGCTGGTGACTCAAGGGTCCTGTCAAGGTTTGGGCCCAGAGACAGCACGGTCGGGGGCTGCTCTTCGCCCCCCGCTCGCGATTATCATGCAGCGCACGCTCTGCTATTATCTTGCTTTGCTGTCTACACAGATGTATCGCGTATATATCACACCCGCCGAAGGGTCAAAGAAACTACGGGCAACGGCATTCCCTAGATATGAAATGTAAAACTCGGAAAGTCCACTGATACGAAGCACAAGAAACACTGCTAGCAAAGCACAGGACACAAAACAAAATCGCGCAGGGTGAGGCTTCAATCACGTGAAGCTCGCCTTGGCGTCATCCCTCGGCGACTTCATCTCGTCACACTGCATGCTGGGTTCCTCCATGCCCTCTTGAACCTCTGCGTTGTGTGTCAGAACCGCCACTTGCCGCCCACAAAACAGTAGGTAGCCATGCTCTGGATTTCAACCGTCCGCTACCGAACCTTTTGGTACTTGTAGTCGTTTTTCTTGTTGTTGCTGATCGTCCCCTTCTCCAAGGTCTGCTCGAATTTGTCGCTAGATTCCGTCTTGGTCGGGATCGGACTAGTGCACTGCTGGCCCACAAGCTTCTGTAGCAAGTGGCAGGTAATTGGCATAGCCACCAGCATGCCCATCACTGAAAATAATAATGCGTCCAGGGCACCTCCAGAGAACCACGAACATTCCACTGCCTCGTCGTAGTAGTACCAACACTCGGCGCTGTAGCCGCCCTCTGCACACGTAGCCACTGACTTGCAACACCACGCTGCAAAGACTGCCAACTGGATTAGTGGTGACTGGATGACCTCGTAGCCGATGATGTCTCCAGTCTACTCGTCTCGATGATATCCTGTCTCACATGTTTGGTATTCTTGACTGCGGTATAGGTAGGATCACGTTGATGCTGTAGCCGTCCAGCTCGAAGCCTGTCCGCGAATAGCTGCCGCGCTGCCAACTTCGCGAGTCCACCTGCGCATGGACGCTTTGTAAAAGCCAATTTCCACTGCGCCCTCGTAGCTTCCATCCGCCCCCGCACAGCTAAATCTTCGATGCCAGCGCGCTGTCCCGGAAGCAGGCGATGTTATCCTTCTTGGCGGCGTCGTACAGTGCCTAGGCATCGATCGCGAGTGCTGGTGCTCCTGCATAGTGGGTGTTGCTGTCTTTGTTGATGCCCACGTTGTCGTAGATGAGTGCCGCCCAGAAACGCCACGCGAACTCCCGCACGCCCACCCCTGCTGCCGCCGCCTGAGATCCCACGTGAAGCGAGGATCTCGCTATCCACGTGAGCTCGCAGGACTTCCAATCAACGACGCTGAAATCCGAGTCCTCGCCGTTGAAAACTTTAGAATAGCACGCCATAGTCACATAGCCTCCTTGACTAGATCCGTCTTGCCGCACTCCCCACGCGGCGTCCGCCATTGCCACCGAAACTACGTCGGCGACCTTTCCGAACCACTTCATCCTCAGCTCCGCGCCCGCATTCTGCCTGTAGAACCTGCGAACCTCCTTCTCCGTAGCCACAGTTGCCGTCAGTAGTTGCCCTTGGCGGATGCTGGCCGACGCTGAGACACGTGGGCACGCGTGGGAACTTGGCCACTGTAGCGCTCCTAACATTCCTCAAAGTTGTCGCATCTCCATGGGATTGAATTGACAGTCGTTGCCACCATTCTCCCCGGTCGATCGCGATCGGCTTAAGGTTGGAGGCGCACGTCTGCATCTTGATGTTGAGATCGGTGCTGCTGGACCGCGGATACACACGGGCCCAGCGGATGTTGCTTGAGGCCGCACGCCCTGCGGTCGTCAAGTGCTCGTTGCCACCAACGTCGTGGCGCGCCCACCTGTCCGTACATGGGCTTGATCAGCTTCGCCGCGTCCGGCTCGATGCCCATGAGGTCTGCTGCGTCTCGAGGTACTTTCACGTAGGGTACTCGATCTTGGGGTCTCCCCTGAAGAAATGCCGTAGCCGCGTCTGCGGTCCACAGACCCCATCCGTTGTTCACCGCCAGTTGCATAGTCAGCTGACGTCCCAATCTCGATGCTGCAGGTGACGCCGCGGGTACCGTACCGTCGAGTGCGTCTGGGTCGTTGAAGTCCTGGGGTACTAGGCGTGCCTGGGATCTGGGAGTGCCATCATCGTCTTCTTGCTCCACCTCATACCCACTTGGCCTTCAGGCTACGCTTGGGAATTTCTTTTCCAGTCGGCCCGTGGAACTCCCAGACCTCGTTGCCGAAGCACTCCTCGGGCTCCTTCCTTACCTTCCACGAACGCCGCTCTCTCATGAGGTGTCATGCTTCTGGTGCTGACCTCGGCGTAAATGTCGCTCAGCTTGGCGCCCTTGCCGTCGAACCCCCACCCAATCGGCAGGCCCTGCCCCTCGAGCATTTGCATGGCCGCGAGCTCGTCGTCAGCAATGTCGTCGCCCACTGGTTGGGCAACTGCTGTCGGGCCCGGTCTCGGTGGTCCTCGGTAAACTCCTCCCAGGTCGGGTGAATATGGAAGCTCAAGCCGCGCCCAGTCGCGCGCGACTCTCCCTTAGGCTAGAGCTCACCGTAGAAAACGTAGGCGCGTGCGCCGTCACTCCTGAGGATGCCGACATTGCTGGGCCCAACGTCGCTGGTGTTGGTGCTGGTGGTAGCGACTGCCCTGGAGTTGGTGGGAATTGTGGAGGTTGCTCGGCTGGCGGTGTCGACTTGGTAGGTGGCCTAGTAGGCATTGGCTCCGGGCCCGGTTGACCTTCGCTCGGTGGAAGCGCGCGCCCGGACGTCTCTGCGTGCCCCATCGGCTCATCCTCCGATGGGCTCGGCAGTCCTGGAGGGGCTGGCGGTGATGGCGAGGTTGTCATCGATGTCGATGCCGCCGCTCCTGCGGTTGCTTCCGTCGCGGTTGGTACCGAGGCCGATGCCAATGGTGATCCTCTCTCGCCTCTCTCCCTCTTTGATGGTGGCCCGTCTCCTGGTCCGCTGTCGTCGTCGCTAATGCCCCTGTCCACATCGCCCGGTTCGTCGATCGGCTGCAGATGCGAGCTGACGTCGTGGAACAGCGCAACCAATGTT